ATGAACAATTTGAGCTAAGTTTATAAAGGGGTTCGTATTATAAATATATATATATATATATATAGCATTCTGAAAAGTAATTTATACAGAATAACAAGCAAACCTCATACGAAGTTCTTCCAAAAATTTACAAAAAAAAAGGAAAATAACAATTTCCAAAATATTATTCCCCATTAATACAGTCCTACAGTTGTCCCCAAGAAATCGCATTAAAATGATGATGATTGGAAACAGCCTTTTAGCCACACCACTTAGAAAACACAAAATTTTCAAATAAATTTGTCACTCCAATTATAAGTGTGTTAGTAACTGTTCACGTGTTTTCTTTTCTTGATAATAGGTGGTAATTGCTGCATGAATGAATTAATAGTAAATACACAACACTTATCCATATTCATGAATGTGAATTAATTACAAATGTAAATATGTAATACAAATTGTGTGTAGTTTTTAAAGGAAAAATAATAATACATGTAATAATAATTCTTCATTAAAGAGAGTAATACAGTTAGCTGTAAAGGAAACTAATCTTCCCTGAGGCATTCATGACATACATTGAAATATAACAAACAAATTATTAAAAAATAATCAAACAAATACATACATTAGCTAATGTATAGGGAACTAATACATCACAAACTTTCCTTTATTCATTTTAATATTCAATTTCCATGATTAGTTATAAAAATGTTAAAATAAACAAAATTTCAATTAACTTCATTGTTCCTGTCCTGGAGTGGTGATATCAGAAACTGGACAAAACCTCTCTCCATATCAACAGACTAATTTTTTGTTTAAACATCTGTTTGTTAAGTTATATTATCTGTCCCATTATCAACATGCGATGACAGATTTACAGCTCTACTTAACCATTTTGTAATCTAATAATGAACAGTAAATTTCAAACTATATCTCTTCTCTAAAATTAGATAATCATATGATGCTATATCTATTTTTAACTATGACTCTACTCATAATTTCTATTAATTGTGCAATGCAGCTCTAATTAAATATTTGACATAGCATAGTTTCTGACACAGAATGAATGTGGTCTAAGTACTTAAATTATATTAAATTGGATATTTACCAATTATGGTCCAATATCCAAAATCTAAACACATGTTTGGAATCAACATATAAAAGAACCCCAAGAATTCAGTTTTTGATGAAATCAAACAAAAAGTTTGATTTTGGACCCTGTAGACAATTTGATTACGAGACCCTGAATCTTAAATCTAACTACACGCTTAGATTCAGCATGCATATCAAAGAACCCCATATATTAATTTTTTGTTGAAATCAAACAAAAAAGTATAATTTTGGACCCCCGATTTGAACCAACTTGAAAACTGGGCCCAAAATAACAATTCTAAAGACATTGTTAGATTGGGCATAACAAAGAACACCAATAATTAATTTTTTATGAAATCAAACAAAGTTTAATTTTGGACTCTTTAGACCTCAATATGGACCAATTCAAAAACAGGGTTTAAAATCCAAATTCTAAATGAGCGGTAAGATTCAGCATATTAAAAATAACCCAAGAATTCAAGACTTCGAATTAAACCCCATTGAAAGTGGTGAAGAAATAAGTAATTTATACAAAGTATTACAAAAGTATTGTTTTTGACCCATTTTTCCCAAACCGTTAGGGTCATAACCCCTAAAATCAATCCAAACCTTCCTTTCATGATATTAAACCTTGTGGCATAATTAAATAGCAATCCATAGACTTATACTCAAGGCATTGTTCAGGAACCAGAAAATCCTAGTTTTCTTACCCCTTTTCGGCCCCTAGTTAATAAACGGGTTGAGCTATGACCCCATAAAATCAATCCCAACTTGCCATTTGAAGTATAGAATCTTGTGGTAAAATTTCATAGAGATCCATACTCTAATACACAAATTATTGTCCTGAAACATGAAAAATGCTTGTTTTTGGACCCTAATTACGAAACAACTACGACAATAACCCCGGAAATAAATCCCAATCTTTCAATGGTGGTATGGAACCTTGTGCTAAAATTTAATAGAGATCCATACACTTATACTCAAGTTATTGTCTTCGAACCAAAATGTCTTCGGACGCCGACGCAGACATCGCCATAACATAATACGAACGCAAAAAAATCATTATTATTTGCTTTTATATATAAATCAGAAATAACCAATTTAAAATGGAAAATTTTAAAGAAAAAAAAAATCCCCTCCAATTTTTTGATCCCCCTTATGATTCATCACCCCAAACTCAATCCCAGCCTTCCCTTTGTGGTATGGTACCTGCAGTACAATTTCAGAGAGATCCATACCATACACTTGAACACAAGTTATTGTCTGGAAACTAGAAAAATGCTTGTTTTTGCCCCTTTTTGGCCCCAAATTCCTAAACATTTAGGGCAATTACCCCCAAACTCAAACCCAGCTTTCCCTTTGTGATATGGAACCTTGTAGTACAATTTCATAAAGATCCATACACTTACACACAAGTTATTGTCCTGAAACTAGAAACATTTGTTTTTTTCCCCTTTTTTGGCCCCTAATTCCTAAAATTTTGAAGCAATTACCCCCAAAATCAATCCCAGCCTTCCCTTTGTGGTATGGTACCTTGCAGTACAATTTCAGAGAGATCCATACACTTCAACACAAGTTATTGTCTGGAAACTAGAAAAATGCTTATTTTTGGCCCTTTTTGGCCCCTTATTCCTAAACGTTTTGGGCAATTACCTCCAAACTCAATTCAAGCTTTCCCATTGTGATATAGAACCTTGTAGTACAATTTCAGAAAGATCCATACACTTACACACAAGTTATTGTCATGAAACTAGAAAAATGCTTGTTTTTTGCCCCTTTTTTTGCCCCTAATTCCTAATATTTTGAAGCAATTACCCCCAAATCAATCCCAGCATTCCCTGTGTGATATGGAACCTTGTGGTACAATGTCAGAGAGATCCATACACTAACACACAAGTTATGTCTGGAAGTTACAAAAATGCTTATTTTTGGCCCCTTACTCCTTAACTGTTGGTACCATAACCCCCAAAATCAATCCCAACCTTCCTTTTGTGGTATTGAACCTTTTGGTAAAATTTCATAGAGATCCATTCACTTAAACTAAAGTTAGAGTGCGAAAACCAATGTGTCCTCGGACGACGACGACGACTACAACAACGACGACGACGCCAACGTCATACCAATATACGACATCATTTTATGTTTTATTTGAAAGAAACAATCCATTCCTTTTAACAAAAGTATTTGTCTTTAGATTTTTTGTTATAATACAAATTTTAAAATAAATGCCGGATATTTTTGTTAATGTTTCATTTGTTTTTTGCATTCATCAAAATTATCTTAATCAACTAGTAACATAACGACAATACTTCATCCCACCACGTTTCTTAATTTTATACTCGCTATATAACATGGTTGTTGAAAGAAATTCTATCTTTAGTTATCACGTACGGGTAGATGACGCATGCTGGTTATGATATGAATACCAAGATTCCTGCAAAGAAATTTCTCTCACGACACGACGGGTATCTGTATATACTGTTGTAACATTTAAGTTCGGATTATCATAATCAGAACGTATACATATATGGCAAATTAAAATCATGTGAGATAATTCGTACTTTCCCTTACTAAGGAAAATAGTTGGCCATGGTTTTATTTTCCTTTGCAAAACATTAAACAATAGGCAAATGGATTATTCATGTATTGGAAATACCAATTTTCACTGTAATTTATGAAATGTAGTTTATGGGAATTAAGTTAATTTATTCATATGCTCAGCATGTTCGGTATTTAAAAATATATGAATGTCAAAATTGAAACAAGGGAAGAACCATTTCGCTGACTGACTCGGCCTCGGCCTATAAAAAATCATTCTATGTTGCGGACCCAGGACCTTGCAAAAAAAGGGGGGGGGCAAAAATAGCTAGGCAACATTTGGAAGGGGACATGTAGAAAATCTATGCATTAACCATATATGTAGCTCCATAAGGGACCCCCTGCCCCTACCCCCCCCCCCCTTTTCCCTAATTCTGCCTCTGATTCTGATTCTTTTACTGGTAAAACTGTAATCTAAATATGTTTTCGATGAAATTAAACAGACCTAACAAAACCTGTCATTATATATCTATATTTATGTTTATATTGGGTCACAGGACCATCAGTAGTGTTCGTGGATTATTTCGTTAGTCGAAATGCTGATTTCATGCATTGTTTATTGTTTCTAACGGAACTTTTGTAATTCGGGTAAATATTTAAGTATGTAAAATATAATCAAAATTAACGAGTTTGAGTAAATTTGGTGGGAATGAATTGTCCGGCATCTAACAGGAAAAGAAAGGATAAAAACCTTACTTGTCGTTTGTAGGGTTCCTTCTATCTTATAAAGTTTACAAGTTTTAAAAAATTACGCATCTGACGTAAGGAAATTTCAATTTTTACCTAAAGACATTTCAATATTAAGACATACCACATGTTTAATTAAGTCTGTATATATTATTGAGTAAAAGCTTTGTAACCTAATGATATCATTGTAAATAGTACAGTGCAGTATCTAATGTTTCGTCTGTTACTTTCTACGAGGCGTGGGTACTTTAGTTTACTCCAGTAGAAAGAAAGTGACATGTGTAAAAGTATCCTATTATTATAAATTGGTCAGTTGGTTAATCAGATTTTTTTCTGTGTTCGCCTATAAAATTAACTACTAGTAACTTTATTTTCTTGTAAATTAAGATGCTAAAATACCAGAAGAAGACAAAATGGTTCTCTGTGAGTGTCAACTTGTCAAGAAAAGAATATTCGGACCGTTTAGAATTTCTAAATATCTGAAGTTGTGTATAGACACATTTATAAAAACGTTTTTCATGATATACAACGTACAGTCTATTAAAATGGACTGCAATTTAATTACATCACAACAAAAATAATGATTAGATAGGATTGAAATTGAAAAACGTATTGAACAAATGTGTTAACATTTTGCTACTTACTGATTAATCAATTATAATTTTCCTCCAGTTCGTGTGTTATTTATTCACACAGAATACACATTTCCTCGAAGTGTGTCTGCACCGTCTACACTCTAACTAACTACTTATATCAATGAAACATAGATCATATTGCAGTAGACTGGAATTGATTGCATGTAGCTATGATTATGTTAGAATTAAATCGTTTGGAGCGATTATCATACCCCGAAAAAAAAAGAAAAAGAAAAAAAGAAATGAGCTTAGTTAATATTCCGCTGAGGAGGGAAGGTTGAGAACTTATACATTTGCATTAGATTAAACCATGAGGGAGTTAGACCGATTGGATGTCTCTAAATTACTACAAGTTATAATGATAGATTTCAATAATTTAGGAGTTTTTTTTTAAATCTGAACTAATTTTTATGGAAAAGCATCACAAATGCATTGTCCAATTACAATTAACAGCATATTGGGTTTAGATATTAAAGTATCTGTCCAAATTCCTGATGCTCATCATTAAATTTTGATATCTTCGTGTATATCTTAGTGTTTTTGTCGGCTTTATTTTAAACAATATTTTATAATGAAATGAAGTCAATACATTTTAAACAATATACACTTACACTGTGATAACTAAGAGGCAGATCACTATGATCGATTACATTGTTTTGGTTAATTTTATTCGCAGCTTGTCTAGACTACTTAGAGCTTGATGTTTACAAGATTTTAAAAGGTATGTCCTCCCTGCCGAGATATTCGTCAAGTCTAGTACAAGCATGTGCCATATCAGTTGATGGTTTATGCTAGGGTTCCCAAATTGTCAACCGCAAATAGAGCACAATATATACGGTAAATATAAACATAAGAAGATGTGGTATGATTAGCTCTTTTTTGAAGGGGAATACACAAGCCCGTCAGATCGAATCAGTCAATTTCTCTGGAAGTCTGTTCTTTTCTGCGTATTTCGTTACGGGAAAGTTACAGTTTGTTCCTGGTTGAAAATGATGCCTTGTTAAATTATTTTTTTTGCGTACGCCTATATATTGGCGAGTTTTGGAAGCTTCTATGGGCCATTCAATATCCTCGGAAACAAGATTCTCGGAACGTCTCGAAAATTTTCGATCATTTATACAGGTGCATGTAGTTATCTCTGTCTTTGATACGCTCTATTAGAGATTTCCAATAAAATGACTTTACTCGACATAACCGACCTAACTCAACGTATTTCGTCCTATTGCATTGAAGCATAACGGAGGGGAGCATACACTGCATCCATTGTTTGCTCTTTGACCACGCATTTTTTGCTGATATAGACTTAATGTAAAAATCAACCCAACTACTTTTTTTAATCTTTATATATTTTGTTATTAAATTTTGAATGATTTTATTGACAAAAATATGTTAAGGGAATGAGTAAGTTAGCAACTTGTAATCAAATACACCCATCGTTTCTTGTCATTTCACTTGACCCATATTTCAGTTCTTCTCAAAATATGAATTTTAAAAACTTCCAAGTAAATATTTAGCATGAAAATATTAAAATAATGAAATCCGAAGCGAGAAGGTTATTTCTTTTTTTGTTTTTATAAGTTTTAACGTTTAAAAAGTAGATCCAAACACACCCGAATGTAAAAGGTGTACGCGACTAACTTTTAAAAACAATTATTTTTTTATAATTTAATTCAAGATAATTTGACGTGGGCAGAAATTCATATCATTGATACATTTATCAAATAGTACTTTTTCGTCTGTAAGGTTCCACTAAAGTCAAAATATAGGACACTTCATAAACATCTAAACTTTGCCTGTATTTTTCAACCTATAATGAGTAAAGTCCTAAACTATGAGAACATATGTTCATTTAAACATACTTAACATATACACACTGTGTAAATTGTAAATAAACTTGAAATTGTTATGCTGTGGCCAAACCGGTTCTTGGGGTGAACACTAAATTTTCAAAAAAATCTGGAGGCCTGCGAGACGACTTAATTTGCTTAAAATTGGTATGGACGAATACTGTTACATGTAATGCAGGGCAAGCTCGTGTTGATTTGTCACATACATATGTTTTAATGGCATATTTGTCCAATTTCTGTATTGTAACTTCGATATTTGTTCACCTAGATACATGAAATTAACTGAAACTCGAAAATCAATACATTTTCTGAAAAATCAACATGAGCTTGCCCTGCATTAGATATAACAGTATTCGTCCATACCAATTTTAAACAAATAAAGTCTTCTCGCAGGCCTCCAGATTTTTTTTGAAAATTTAGTGTTCACCCCAAGAACCGGTTTGGCCACAACATAACAATTTCAAGTTTATTTACAATTTACACAGTGAGTATATGTTAAGTATGTTTAAATGAACATATGCTCTCATAGTTTAGGACTTTACTCATTATAGGTTGAAAAATACAGGCAAAGTTTAGATGTTTATGAAGTGTCCTATATTTTGACTTTAGTGGAACCTTAACACGAAAATGTGATACTGACGTGTAATCTAATGGACACATATTCTTGTTTCTGATGTTTCTTATAATATAAATATTTATTTATTTAGTTATATATAATTCCACTTACAAATCATCATGTATCTTTTGCCGATAAATTATCATTACATTTTATAGAAACTACATAAAATTTGCTATACAGTTATGTCATACAGACACTCTGTGCTTTTGACATGACAAAAGGTCTTGACTGTTTAATATGTACTTTTTATACTTAATTTGTGATATGTACAAAAAAGAAGATGTAGTATGATTGCCAATGAGAAAACTCTTCACAAGAGACCAAATGACACAGAAATTAACAACTATAGTCCACCGTACGGCCTGCAGCAATTAGCAAAGCACATACCGCATAGTCAGCTATAATTAAGAGGCCACAAAATGACAAATGTAAAACAACTAAAACGATAAAAATAACGGCCTAATTAATGTACAAAAAAATAAACGAAAGCACAGCAACAAATGATAACCACTGAATTACAGGCTCCTGACTTGGGACAGGCACACCCATGCATACTGTGGCGGGGTTAAACATGTTAGCGGGCCCACTTACTTGGGACAGTGGTGTAACAGTACGAAATAATTGATTAATATTCTAGACTGGATAATTATTCTGTATTTATTAGTTGTAGTTGTTTTAAGATAGTGTTCAGTAACTGTGAATACTCTAAGTTCGGTTCATGGAGTTTATTTGGAAATACTAGTAATTGCTGTTTTTGTGCTTCGTTTTAGTCGGACGAGTTAACCCCTTTCTTACTGTTTTAATTGTGAGTAGACATGATCATTTGATAAACATCTATGATCTCTATTGGCTTTAACTTGGACATTTATAAAAACTATGTAGCAAAGAGATGCATGCGTAAAATAAGTTCTCGACATAAATTGGCTAAATTATCAGAATTTAGCCTCAAGCTATAATACTTATGACGAAGAAACCTCAATCTATAATACATTCGACGAAGATTTAGCCTCACGCTATAATACTTATGATGATGATGATAATGATGTATGTCTTATATCCAGCGACAAATATTACATATATATCAAGGATGATGAAATGATAATGATAAATGAATGTACCTTTTTGTATATTACCAACACTTAGAGTCGCATGTTTATATGCTAGGTAACAAGATAGCGTACCCGATACAAAGACACACTTGTCTTTCTTCGATTAAACCAGTACATGCTCTTACTCGTGAATGCATTATGCTTGGTTGAGAAGCCGAAAAATTTAGTCGTAAAATCATTTGATCCGGGGGTCCAACAAAATAATTGAACCCGTAATCGAGGCTAGCCTGCTACATGTACCAGTCAATCCCATATTTAATAAAAAATCTGTTTATATATTTTATGTTTTATGTGCATATATTATTATTCTAGCAACACTTGTTTTGTTTTGATAACACTTTTTTTTGCATAATTTATTTGATTTTTCTCCTTGTTTCTTTGTATCAAAAAGCACAGCTTCAATTATCCTTGTGACTTGCTATTGTATTAATATCCAGTAGGCATGCAATTATCATTCTAAATAGTATAAAAAAAAAATTAAACTTAAATTCCTTACCACTACATGTAGCATCTAAGATACATACACTGACAAAATATTGTACCCGCATTCAAATTACAATCACCATGTCTTGTCTGTCCATCTGCCAGTCTGTCCGTTCAACAAATATTTTCAATTTTCTCTTTAAAAGCATTAGTATGCTTAGCATGCATTCTTTTTTCGATTTTTTCCTCACACTCCGACATGTATATACCTGGATCCGTATGGAGCGTCAAACTATCAAACAGAGTCCAATTGGTGTGAATAACGACTACAGTCACTGTGGCTCGTGCTGTCGTCAACAATAAGCAAAAACTCATACCGTATTATCAGATACTAGTATATAAGGCATTGATTTAAAAATTGTAAACAGTTCAAACGAAAATGAACAACCGTACGGCCTTCATCAATGAGAAAAATCCATACCGTATAGTCGACTGTAAAAGGGGCCAACTTAAAAAATATGAAACAACTCAATTGAGAAAACTACCGGCCTGATTTAAAACAAAACAATTTACGAAAAAAGAAATATAACAGATATGAACCAACGACGACAAGTGAACCATAGGCTCCTGACATGGGACATAAAAAATGTGGCCGGGTTAAACATTTTTGTGAATGTTCAACCCCCCCCCCCCCCCTTTCCCCCTAAGCCTGGAACAGTGGTGCAACAGCACGACATAATAACAACCTGGAAAAAACTTCCTTCAGAGAGCTTGGTTCACACAAATATATACATATTTAAAGTAATTATGAATATAAAATGTGTTTTCAGCCGTGTATCACCTTCACTGGTGGTCCTATGCATGGATATGTCGCAGAGTTTAACTTTTATATATAAATGTATACCTCTAAGGCCAGACAAAAATTGAAACTCAAAATTTTGTGATAGTTTTAAAATCCACTTCTAATTGGATTAGTAAGAGTTGTCTTAATCCAAAAAAATCCTCAATATCAAGCCTTACTAATTAAAAGTACATTTTAAACAGAAAATCATTGTAAAGACTGAAGTGGCATTATAGTTGTCTTAAAAATGTCACAAGTATGTAAATTGGCATTCATATCCACTTTTAATCAGAGATACTTGGGAACAGGACATTTTTTTAGCCAATTACTATGTACTATAAATTGATAGTTTACTATCCACAGCGGTCAATGTTTATATGCAGATTAGTCATCAATTGCTAATCAAGTACACCTTCCAAATTACAATCT